TCCCGGGGAAAGAGCGTGCCTCCCCGGAATCCCTCGACCTGACCCGGGAGACCACCAGCCTGAGGACCAAGATGTCGTCGCACCACATGAACCACCACCCCTGCTCACCGGCCCACCCCCCCAGCGCTGCCGAGGGCCTCTCCTTGTCCCTCATAAAGTCCGAGTGCGGCGACCTGCAAGACATGTCCGAAATCTCGCCCTACTCGGGAAGTGCAATATCCTTTTCCAGAGACAGGCGATAACCTGGTGGTGGCCCGTGGGAGAGGACGAGGGGCTGTGCCCGTGTCCCGGGGCCTCCCCCGGGCGCTGTGGGTGTGGGAGTGGGCGGGGGGCTTAAAGGAGATGCCAGGTGTTGACTGACGGTGCTCCTTCAGCAGTGGTGTTCACATAAAAAAGCCACTGGCCCTCCCCAAGCCTTTCGACCATCCCGTGGGGTCAGAAAGCGAGCCAAGCCCATGACCTGGCTGCCAGTGGGTTTCCCTGGGCCGGCGGGTCCTTCCCCAGGCAGGGAGGTGATTGAGAGGGCATCGCCCTCAGCTGAAAACCGTTCCAGCCACCTCCGCCTCCTTTCCCTCCCCTGCCAGGCCAACGTGCGACCCGTGTTAATGGTGTCGTGGCTGGGGCTCGCAGAGAGCCGCGGTGCGGTCACCGTGAGCCTCCAGCTCTCCAGTGCATAAGGGAAACGAAGCACAAAAGACACAGGTACTGATATATTCAGGCTGCATCAAGTTCTTTCCCCCACCCAGAGGTCTGTTCCTCAGCCCTTGTGCAGCTGCCTGCTATGCATGATTAACCTCTGTTCAGCCATACACAGAAATCTTTTGTCCCAACATACACAAAGCAAATTATTTTGGAAACCTAGAGAGAACAATTAAATATAAAACTTCAGCTATATTAAATTTACAGGACACTTGCCTTGCTTAAAAAAAGAGATTATAATAAAATCTCTCTTTTTAGCTCAATAGCAGGCTTTAGTTAGGGGAAAAAATCCATCTTTGCCTTTATTTAGGCATATCCAGACATCGTAACGATATTTTCTCTTTCTTTTTTTCCTGGAAACTAGGACTAGATTTTAATTTTTTTTTCTCTTTTGGCAGTAACACCTCCCACTCCTTGCATCTTTTCCCCTAATGTCCTTTTTGGTCAAAAGATTTTTCTTTCAAGTACAGTCATATTAAAATTAATAAAATACCACGTCTGCCCAATGCTAAAATTAAGGATTTTGCATGAAGGGTATATCAATGTTTTAATCTAGCTCCCAAACCCTAGCAGAAGGCAACAGCACAAGCACAGAGCCTTAGATGCAGCTAATCTCATTCCCAAATTGATGAAGGTAATTGTGACTATTGAGTAACTCTGCCCCTCCCTGAGTAGTGGTAGTGGTGCTGAGGAACTGGTCCCCTTTCCAGGGGTATCGTGTGAAGGCGGATGCACGAAGCTGTGCCCCATCACTGAGTATCTTCTAGGCAATTAATAACTCTGATGGTTTTAGACTGAGTTAGCCACATTTTATGTAGACGTGTTAAATCCTCAGGAGGGTGCTGGCAGGGCTCAAGACCCACTGGTTATCTAGACTTCCCATCCCTCCCGTGGCAGGGGGCACCACTGGGATGAAGGCAGGTGGTCCAGAGCCCATCGCCACCAATCTTGGATCTAACTTAGGTCAAGTCTGAGTCAAGAATTGCTTGTCTGACCTGTATGAATAGTCCCATTTCTATAGGGGAAAGTCTTCCCAGTTGAAAGCACCTTCCTTAGCTCCTGATGTTTTTGATAGACAGCTAGTAGTGGACATGACACTTGAGGGACCTCTCTCCTGAAAGAGGATTTCTCTGCTGCATTGGTAGTAGAGAAATCTTCACCATATACATTGTAGGGCAAAACAGAGGAGTTGGTCCAAATCCAATGTTACTCACACTTACTGCCAGTTACTTTTGGAGATCCAAACCGAGAATCTTTCCTGCATATTGGAGTGCAAGCTGCGATGCTCAGAAAGCAGTCCTGAGGTCAGCGGGAGGGGCAGCAGAGGGCGAGACTCAGGCCAGAGCAATTAAGTCATTTCTACCAAACAGTATAGTGGCATACTAATTTTTTGTGTATAAAAGTAGTTCTCCTGTCCTGGGAGAGAGGTGAGCAGAGGTGAAAAATGCCAAGCGTGTGAACTGGGGAGTAGTTGTGGGGATGCATGAGATCCTCTCCACCCGTGGAGTGTCTGTCCTTCATCCCTGCTGTTTCTCCCCCTTTCTCCAGCTCAGTCTCACTGGCGGTCGCTTCTGCTGAAACAGGGGTGTGAGTCCCCTGCTGCTCCCAGGCTTAGCTGGGGGAAGCACTGAGTGGAGTGACTCCCTCCCTTCTCCCTTGCCCCACTTCTTCCCCTGCCTTTGTGAAAGTGCTTTGACGTTCCCACCTAGACACTCTGGCAGGCTGCAGTTTGAGCTGAGTTTAGATGCAGAGCTGTTAGGACAGACAGATTTATTGAACAGCGCTTCTACACAACGCGTACCCTGGTATACAGCTCAGCTGTGGGGATGTTTTTTTCTAGTAGTGGCTCGTTTGCCCAGGTAGCTGACAGTTTCCAGGGAAAGGCGCAGGATGGAGGTTGGTTTGTTTGTGGTCGATTCTGTTGTGGCACTTTTATTTTACGCAGTTGAATATGCATATATAAGGAATATATTTCTTGAGAGAAGCAGATCTTTCTTCCCCGCAGAAAGCAACATCTGTTTTCCTGGACAATACAGCCAGGATGAGAACATAAGACTAGCAGATACAGCCAAGTTCAGGTTTTAGTAGTAGGCTGAAACAGTGAACTAGCCTGGGGTTTTTTGGGTTGTTTTTTTTTTGTTGTTGTTCTTTTTTTTTTAACCAACGCCTGGAAAATGTATCTGATTGTTCTTTGCTGAATTGTAGAAGGAAATGGTTAATGTTTGCTTATGTTGCTAAACAAGATAAGATGCACCTGCAGCATGAATTCCCATCTTGGTCATGAATGCAGTCTGTATCTTTGCAAACTAATCTGTTTAATCAAATATTAAGTTTTATTCAAATTCCAAAAGAAACAGACAGCGAATTGTTTTTCTGCATGGTCTTCCTTTGTCATGCATCCTCTTTGCATCTCAAGAAAAATAGCCTTGTTCAGTCCCAAAACATTTGCATAGATCAAAATTGAAGCACAAACAGTAGTTTGTGTGCTCTTAAGACATCTGTAAAGGTGAAGAGGTTTCAGCGTGCTCTCCCTGGCAGGAGGGCTTTAAAACGTTGGTGAAACTTTCTCCGATTTATTTATTTATTTTTAAACAGAATTCCAATCCAACTGGAATGAGTTTCCCAGTCCCAATATGTGAAAGCTATAATTAGTGAATTACAACATTTTGAAATGAGGAGTTATTACATCTGACTAGAATTAAACTAATTAAACTTAAAAAAAAAAAAAAAAAAAAAAAAAGAGCGATTATACAGCAAACTGGATAACTCCGTGCTGTTGATAAAACCTGGGTGATGAATGAATACTTTCCAGCCAGCCCGTTCTTTGGAGGGTCTTGAAGATGCTCTGAGATACAGCTATTTGGAGCTTTGCTGATTAAAAGCACCTGAGGTGTAACTTAAGGAGCAGCTTGGCTTTGGTAGTGCAGATTTTTTACCTGATACAGCCTATTCTTACCTCTTTTCCTTCAGCTCAATACATGTGTGGGCTAGAAAAGCCTGTTGGAGCATTTGTGGGAGCTCAGGCTGAGAGTAACAGGAGTGAAAGATCATCTCCACTAAAAAATATTTTTGCAAAAGAGAGGCATTACCTGGGAGGGTTGAAGTGCAAATGAGTCAAACGCTGTGCAATGCCACCCCTGTGCTTCTCCAGTTAAAACGCGCAGGAGCCTGTGTGTCTGTGTTTCATTCCCAGTCTCTCGCTTCCTATTTCTTAGTGTTTTGCCTTTTTGCTGCTGCTGCTGCTGCGTTAGGTGAGGCCACATTGTACTGTGTAAACGCACAGCGCCGAGACGCGCAGGTTGTTTGAACACCGCTTTAGGTTCAGCTGCAGTACGCTGCTCCTCTGATCTTTTATGTTCCTGAGCAGATGTCTTTCATTAATTTATGGATTTATCATCTTTTCTTTCTCTCCTTTTTTTTTCCTTCCTTTTTTTTTTTTTTTTTTTTACACCTGGCAGCTGGCTCAAGTTTCAGCAGTTATTGTCTATTTTGCATTACCCATAGAATTGAATGTCATCTGTCTTCACAAAGCTATAGCTAAGAGAATTGAGGCAAGCCACACGAGCTGCTGGGACAGGGCTTGTTTGCGTTCCATTCGGCACCCCTCCTCCCTTTACCTCCTTAATATTTATTTGTGCTCGTTTTCTTTCCTGGCCTTGAATGGGGCTTAGCTCGTGTTCGGTACAGCTGTATGTTTACTGAATCTATTTCATCATGAGTCATTGTGCGTGTGTAAGTATCCTGGAAACAGCTAGTGCTTTCTTGGAAGAACAGTTGCTTTTCAGCCCAAGCACTTAAAAAGGAAATTAAGCAATTGGTCAGTTCAGTTTTTTTTCTGAAATAGCAACGGGTTATCTAATTCTTAGCTCTTAAGTCTGTTATTAACTATTTTTTGCTAGATTATAACAGAGCATATCTTTTATCACAGTGAAGTGTTAACCTTAGGATCAAGATATACAGATTTGTTGCATATTTGATATCGCTTTAAGGCTGCCAAGTGCTTAAGAACAAGTATAATTTTAATAAAAAATGGATTTCTGGGAATTTTGAGTCTCAGAACATCTTTTAATACATGTTTCATTTAGTATCAATATGCCTTGGCATTAGAGCAGAAAATATTTAAAAATCCTAAATGCAGAAGGAATCCAAATGCTTAGACAACTGTCTAATATGCTTAAATCTAGCAAATATGAGAGCTTTTTTTGAAAGTTTAAGTCCATCTGTGAGCTTACATTGAAAGAGAATATACGGCAATATTAACATGTTGTCAGCGCCGGAGGAATGGCAAATTAAGGAGACTTAGGATTTTTTTTCTTCTTTTACTTATTGGAGCACCCCTTTGGACCCCCACTTTCCTGAAAGGATCACATAACAAAATAGATTTCTGGCATAGAAGTTTTGATTTGTCTAAAACTCTTATCACTAAGCAATAGGTGACAGCTTGCTACTATTATTTCACTTACGTATTTTGACAGATGGCACTGCAGAGTGTAATGCTCTTTTAGACTTCTCTATCAGTCTAATGGAGGTAACTGGAGGTTCTTTCAACTCTTCTCTTGGCACAAGAAGTATGTCAGTCATAAATTATCTTCTTTGTAATCATTAAGCATCTAAAACAAAATGCAAGTTCAGCTGAGCCGTTTTCCATGTACTTCCAGATAATAAGAGGTTTTTAAACTAATATTGTCAATGCCTTTTTTTTTTTTTTTTTTTAAATGCCACATTTTTCCAATCCAAAAAGGAATCTTGTAACTGAAATAAAGGGAGAGGGTTTCGGTAGATTTCACAAATTAGAGAAAAAGGAATTCTGCTGAAAAAGCCTAGCTAATCATCAGTAGCCTGCTGATAAAAATTAGTCTGCCTTTGCCGTCTCGAGGCCTGGAATGAGATGTTCTGTGCTGACGTGCGCCCGGCCGTAAGGTGGAAGAGGCACCTTGGCTGCAGCGCATCTGTCAACTTGGTTGACCTTCCCCGCACTGTAAGATGTGAACCGAGTGAAATTTTCAACAATTGTGTTTAGGAGAAACAGTCCTTAGAGAAGCTTCTGGGAAGAACCCTTAATTGACCTTGTGGGGGCCACATTGATTTTCTCCACGTGCATCTTCATTTCTGATAAATTATAAAGCCATTAATTTGCTGAGGAAATGGCAGGGCCAGCCTGCGGCACAGATGTGACCAGAGCCGTCCTAGCACGCAGTACACAAAAGAGAGCCAAGAAGCTGGGAGAAAAATCAGCAAGCTGAGATTGTTATGGTTAGCTTCACATTCCCTTGGGAACTCTTTTAGTTGCTTCTGTTTACAGATCTAAAAGGTAATGATGTTTCCAGGATAAATAGGCTGCCTTATAGGGTAAGTGGCCATTTATTGATCTGCTAGCCCACATTTATCGATTGGTTAGCCCCAAATACAGCTTCGTTCTCCGAGGAGTTAACTGTGTAAATCAGGAGGCGACAAGTTTGTGGCGGGGAGATTGAGCAGCAGAGGGGCTCTGCCTATTACAAATTTCTCTTTGATTTGCAAGGCAGCCACTGGAGCAAAGCAGCAGCAGGATGAGAGTTACTCAAGATGTTAAAATTTATCGACACCAATGAAACAGGTGAAACCTACTGCCTGTACAAAATATTGCTCAAAATGATTGAGTGGCTCCGATTGTCTCACACGCATTAGCTTGATTTCATGCAAGTGGCACAACACTGAGAGAAGAAGGAACTTTAGCTGGAATTGCGAAGGAGAGGGTGAAAAAGCTGCCGATAAGTTTTCCGCGGCACATGCTTCATGCGTTTGTTTCCTTAGCAACAAGTGAACATACATATGGTACACAAGCCGTAAACTTGCAAGATTCCCGAGACCCAGTGCCAAAACTGATAGGAAATTCAGCATTTAGGTTACGTGGTCTCACATCCCTCGTTTAGGTATTTTCCAGAAAATTACAGTGCAGAAATTTAAATGTTTATATTTTCTCCTATAGTATGGGGAACTATAGGGTGTTTAGGGGGGAACTTCGCTAGCTCTGTACGTTCAGAAACAGCTTTCTCAAGGACAGCATTTTCCTTTACTAATTCAATTCTACATGCAGGAAGGCTTGTCACCGAATCACTTGAAAAAGGCCAAGCTCATGTTCTTTTACACCCGGTACCCAAGTTCCAATATGCTGAAAACCTACTTCTCAGATGTAAAGGTAAGAAAATCTCTTTCACCCAGCTTTCTCCTTACTTCATGCTTATATTTGCTTATGAAAAGGTATCATGTTATCATCTGAGAGATGAATAATATTTCTGGGTACACAAAGGTTACAGCTGACTTTATTCACTTGTGCTTCCTGTTGAGGTGTACCCTGCTTGTGCCTAGATGAGGAAAGGGAAGGTTGGAGGATTTTAAATGAAAAATAAAAAATAACTGAAATTTCAGAACAAAGTAAGAATAATTATTACAGTAAATTAAACAGTTTTCATTATAAATATCCTATTAAAAATAAGATTTCTGTGGTGGTAGAAATGTACTTCCAAGAACATTTTGGAGCAGTTCTCAAGTGCTCCCTTATTGTTTCATTTCAGTTGGTTTCCTCATATTTGTGCTTACATAAGCAGAGTGTAGAATCCCTTTCTTTCTGTCAAAAAGAAACAGTACATTGAAATTCTCCATGCAGAAGCTGCTTAAAAACAAAAGTGATGATTGTCTCTTATTTACAACTTAATTTGTTGTTGATGCAGAGTACACTGAGCATAAGGAG